AGCGGTTTACAGAGGGTCAGCATATTGCCCCCAACAATCTGGATCCTCATTTTACCCACCTCGGAAGGATGGAAGGCTGAGTCAACCCTGAGCCGGTGAGATTTGAACCGCTGAACTGCTGATCTAGCAGTAGCCTGCAGTGCTGCATTTAACCACTGCGCCACCTCGGCTCTTACAAAATGGTTCTTGCAAAAGAACCATTCTCCTAAGTCTCTAGACAGGTACCTGTTGTGGCCCAGCAGGAGCCGTTGGAGCTGCCACCAGACTCCGACAGTGAGGGACCATATGAGTTGGCCCTGGAGGATGTGGAGAACCCTGGACAGGGTTCCGACTCCGAGCAGGGTACAGAGAGACTGGTTGGCCACCAGGTGGTGCCTGAGCCTTGGATCATTGGGGAGGAGACAAGGAAGAGTGATCCAGAAACCAACTGTGAGTTGTTCCAGGATGCACGCCGTTGAAGAGCTACTCGGCGTCAAGAACAACTATGTAATTACAGGAGGTAATGGTCATTAGGCTCCTCTCCAGACTATAAAAGAGACTGCTTGTGCCACACCCTTCTTGCAGAAGACAATGCTTGGACTAAAGAGAAACTAACTTAGCAGGCTGGATTGCTGCCAGAGTTTGTTTGCATTGCTGCCAAGGTTTGTTGGACTTGCTGCCAAAGTCCTTATCTGTTTGTTTACTTGGCCACCAAGAGTCTGGACTTGTTATTAAAGGACATTCTCATTAAAGCTTCTCTTGTCATTCGTTACTGGATGGAAGAGTGGGTCAGAACAGGTACCTAAGCTAATTTCTTGACTGCTCAACACTTACAAAAAATTTTATTTATTTTTAGGAAAGGGCAACAAAGACTGAATATGCCAAGTGTAAAATTCTGGCTCAATGTTGGAAGGAAAATGGAGTGAGACAGGGAATGAAATTGAGAATGGCATCTCTAAAGAATATCCCTAGTTTCTTTTTAGGGTGGTGGCGGAATTAAAACCAGTTTTCCCGAGGAAAGGCTTATTTGAATTGGAATGTAGCTCTCAGAAAAACAAGGAATATAGTTGGTGCCTCTGATGACATTTTCTAAATTTAAACATAGCCCAAAGCTGTTACTGAAATAGGGAGGAAAAACAGGGACCCTTAAGTAATTTGGTTCTAATTTCTGATTAACAGAGAGAAGTTTGGCTGAAATGCTGGAAGTATGTAAGAGGAAACTACCTTTCTCCCATCTTCTCCTGGGATCCCATCTTCTCCCTGGAAAGTAAACATCATTTTCATATTTGTATTCCAGATTAGTTTAGAAGCATATGCTATAATACTCCTTACGATTAGAAGAACGAAAGAAAACAGCACATTTTAATAATTCCCTTTCTTCCCCCTTCTTCCCTTTCTTCCCACCCCAATACAGGCCTTGCCTGTCAAACCTGAAGCCCCACTTCTAGCAGAGGGATCAGGCTCAACACTCACATTCTTCCCATTCAGCCCAGGTTTGCCATCTTCACCAGTTTTGCCCTGGAAAAGAAATGTAGGGGATCAGCCAGCTAAAAAGAGCTTTCACCAGCTTGACTGCAAAAAGTCCATAGAATTGCAAGGAACACACAGGATGGGTGAATCCATACAGAATATATGACTTTGTTGCAACCAATGGTTAGTGAGGTAAACTCAAGTGAAGAAAAATTTAGTTAGTCTCTGGTCTGTTTGACATTGCAGCTATTTTGGACTTCTCCTTTTCTATGAATTTGTTGCATTCTAGATGACAAGTATAAATTTGCATGTGGCTAATTACCCACAGACATTACGAAATCTATACAGTATTAATAATTGGTGCCAGAGTTTTTATTTTTCTCCCTCCTTATCCTACATTTTCTTTGTGTGTATGTGTATGTTGCATCCTTTTAAATTGCAAGCCTAAATTGGTAGATGGGAATTCTATTGCCAAGATCACCATCATTCAACCAGCATTGAATAGAATTTAACTACCAATCACTTTAGCCCACTTTCACACTCTATTAACTAATCTTGGTCCAGTTGTCAACCTAAATATATTTTTAAATTTAAAAAGCAGAAATGGAAAACTGAACTAATAAGTACATATCTTACATTTCTATATGGGCCTAGATAGCAAGGGAAGTACAAAAACATTCTTCCTATATTTTATGGCTGAGGTATTATAGAGTTGTGGGTTAGTCAATTGAGAAGTCAATTGGGCTTCATTCACAGTCAATTGATTGATTCACTAGATCTGTGTAATTTACCCACTAACGGAGGTTAGCTGTGGTAATTAACATAGACATGACCGCCCACCTAACAAATGCTCCTTTTGGAAAATATGCATATTGGCTTTCAATCTCATGTTGCATATGGGCAGTGGATGCACACCAGTCTTTTAACCATTTCACTTACAGGCAGTCCTGGAGATCCCGGTGGACCAATTGCTCCAGGAGGACCTTGCTCTCCACGCTGACCTTGCAAGCCCTGGTTTTTTTTTTTTTAAAAAAAAACAGAATATTGTGGATATGCAGAGTAGAATAGAGACCCTCCTCTTCTAAAGATATACATGATAGCCAAATTTAGTAGACTAGGACAGAAAATGTACCAGCTCCCCAATATGAGAAAATCAAGAGGAAAATAACCCCTCATCTTATTTAGGCTTGTCAGAGGTCAGTGGGGTTTTTTATACTTACATCTCGACCAGGGTCACCCTGCTTTCCTGGATCACCCTAAGAAAATAAAGCAGGGATGCAATCAGAAGTCAGGCATTGAAATCTGCCTTGTGCTCATGTCATTGTCTTTTACCTGCAGTTCCCCAAAAGATTTGTTTAAACGTATTTGCTAAATTTATGCACCTCACAAATGCAATCCAATCCAACCCAACCCACCTCACTTTGTGGTTCAGTGTGCTATATGAACCCAGTTTCAATCTTCTAAATGAGGTTATTTTACTTCCTTTTTTCTGGGTGACTAATAGTGACAAATGGCTATAGTGATGATCCCATAAAATCTACATAACATTTGTATAGTACTATCCAAGCTTCAGCACATCAAGAAACATCATTTCTTTATATTGTTCTGCTTAATCAATAATGCCATAAAAATAAAATGCATATATAAAATCAATTTATATGCTCCAGTAAAGACCAATGATAATTAACTTTTATATGTTGGAACTAACAAGATAGAATAGAATAGAATAGAATAGAAGCGTTGAACGGGACCTTGGAGGTCTTCTATTCCAACCCTCTGCTTAGGCCGGAAAACCTACAATTTCACACAAATGGTTATCCAATCTCTTCTTTAAAACTTCCAGTGTTGCAGTATTTACAACTGTCAGAAAATTTCTCCTTAGTTCTAGGTTGCTTTTCTCCTTGATTAGTTTCCACCCATTTCTTGTTGTCCTACCCTCAGGTGCTTTGGAGAATAGCTTGACTTCCTCTCCTTTGTGGCAGCCTGAGATACTGGAACACTGCTTTCATGTCACCCCTAGTCCTTCTTTTCATCAAACTAGATGAAACTCAGTGTGTGACTCCCTTATTGTGCACATTGGTATCAGTACAAAATGTTCAAAATACACTTTTGGACTTGGCAGCAGCAGCTTCCCATAAACAGCTGAGTTTGTGAAGAGTAATGCAGCATCATTGTGGCTTAACAACTGTTAAATCTAAGAGCTGGAGTCCTGATACATCTGAAGGCATCAAGTATCAGACTTACTCTTTGGCCTAAAGGGCCTATTTGTCCTGGTTTTCCATCCAAGCCATTCCGACCATCCAGGCCTGGAGGACCCCGATCACCCTGAAGAAAAATTTAAACGAATAAGTGACTGAGAAAGCAACCTTGGCAATAAGTAGAAACTTTAGGAATTAATGAAATTACTGTTCATGAGACCATGGATATGGGCCATTCAATAATTCTTACATAATCCACTTTTATCTGCAGTAATGGAGGCTACTTTGCCTCTTTTTTAAAAAAAGAAAAAAAAACCCTAAGGTTCTCTCTAAATTCTGTATGAAATATCAGATCTTGTAGCTTTATAGAAATATTTGGTCGGCTTTCATGGCTTTCGCCAGATTCTTCTCTTTCATCATCTCTTTTAGTGAATGACAAAATCAGAACTCTCACCTTCTCTCCTACTGGGCCTCGATCTCCAGGGTCACCCTGCAAAATGAGACAGTTGACAGACCATCTAAGTAAAAAAATGATTATGCAGACTGGGCCTTCTGCTATTCAATAATCCCAGAGGAAGCAACAGCATTACATTCTCTTCTGAATCATATGAAAAGGGGGACGAAAAGACTTACACGAACTCCAGGGACCCCTCTGAGACCTTCAATTCCCTGGAAGAGAGGGGATAAAGATGTCTCTGTAATTCTCTTGTGGGAAAGGAATGGTTGATACCAGTTTCCTGGACTGTAGTTTTACAAGCCTTCCCAAAAACCTCTTCCTATCTCCCCTTACTACTGTTTCAGAGGTGGTTTCCTACTGGTTCGGACCAGTTCAGCTGAACAGTAGTGGTTTGCCAACTTGGATCGCCAAAATCCAGGCCTGCCACGCCTCCAAACCGGTTCCCTGGTAGGTGTGGCATGGTTTCTTTTTTCATTTTTTAATGTTCTGCGCATGCGCAGAACTATGTATGGGCAACTTCACCCCCGGACAAAGTTGCACGGGCACCAAACTGGCAATAATGCCGGCAGCAACCCACCCCTGTACTGTTTATACTTTAAGGGACTTGGTCAAGCCGTGATTTCGTGCTCTTCATATTTCCTTGTCTTACTACAGGAAAGAGTGACTCACTGCATTAAGAGTGTATTGACATTTAGCAGTATATCCACATTTACTAATTAGTGAATTCTTTTCTGTGAGCTACAAAAGCAGAGGGCTTACACTTCCTATTTGAGTCTAAAGCCTGATAACGATCATTTTAAATTGTAAGAAATTCTTTCAATCCTGGAAAAGATTACCTGTTTCAAAAAGTTTACCTCCATCTCAAATCCTGGAGTTACGTTAGAAAGGGGGAAGGATTAAAAGTGCCAATGAGCCCCCATATTCCTGCAGTTAAACATAGAGATGTTTAACTGCATGACTAGAACAGCTGAAGCAGGCACCATATTTCCTTCTTTAAGGATGCAGTGTGGCAACTGGAACCTACCCGTTCTCCTGGCAGGCCAGGTAAACCAACTTCTCCTTTTGTTCCTTTCATGCCATCCTCTCCAGGGTCTCCTGGCTCCCCCTAAAATGGAAAAAGACAAGTAGCACACAAGTAGTTTCATTTTTTATAAACTGAAGCACAGAAACAAATTTTGAGGTATGCAAAGAATCCCAGTTTCTCTGAGGCCCAAACTAGACGTGACATTAAATGCATTTTTAAACAAATGGGTGGATTTTATTAAATTCCTTCAGCAGGTGAAGAAAAATACCTAACAAACATCGCAAATTAAGCAGGAATGCAGAGAAAGAATTGAAATAATATTTTAAAGTGCTAGAATTATTTAGATTCAGAAAGCTGGTATATAAAGTGGGTTATGATAGGAATACATAAAAATGTCCAGATTGAGAAAATGAATAATATTTTCTCAGAATAGTACACTGGATATGCTGGAAAGGTCACTCCACACTGAGGTATTTTCCTCCCATTTGCTGTAAAGGTAGGGAGCACATAGCTGCAACCTGATTTTCAGAATCAAATCAGAAACTGAGAGCGAGAAAGAGAGCAAAAGAGTGCTTGAAAAAGTTAGGAATGAATTATATATTCATATACCCACAATATACGTATATATACAATACAGTTAGTTACTGGTATTCAGGGAAAAACTGAAGTTTTGTTTGGTCTTTGAATTCTGCAAAGTACTGAATGGACTGCAAAAATACCTAATTATGTTGTGAAGTTAAGAGGAATGATGTAATAAAACTGAATGAAAGTTATCTGATCTTGTGGAGTTGATCACTACATACAGGGAAACAAACATAAACAATAAATTTGAGAAATGGTGAAATGGTGTTATGTAGATTAATATGAATATGCATGAAAGTAGGAATCTGTGGTTGGTAGCAGTTACACATTATACTCAAATGAACAGTGTGTATGGAAAGAATTTTGGATTAATTTTGGAAAAAATATGGAGAGTTCTGAATAAATACGATCTAGAGAAATATATAACGTATTCTATGGATGACACAAATGCATGGATATGAATGAGATGAAAAAGTATAGAAAAGTAAATGGAACCAACCACAGGGATTTACTGTACCTTAGAAAAACATTGCTTTCAAATATGTTCTCAAGTCTATTAATGGCAAATGAACGACTATAAATCTAAAAGCATGACTGATCTCATTCTTTATGCTGGAAGACCAGGAGAATCAGTGAAGGGAATGGTGATGAGAATTTATGAATGTGGGGTTGGCCATCTTTTGGTATGTAAAAAGTGGACCTTAGGAAAATTGGGCAAGGAAAGAAAGAAATGAAGGATATAAATGAATGTAGAATGATTGCAAGAAGAGGAAGGAAGAGTCCTGTAGGAAAATAATTTAATCTCTCATACAGAATGTATGGGGGTAGCAAATGAAACAAAAGAAGACATGGAAGCTGCTTCAACAGAATACAAAGAATTATATTACAGAAGGACACAGAACTACATGGATTTATATTAATGAAACAACCGATGCTTGGTAGAAAAAATGAGGTGACAGCCAGGTTATGGATGAGAAGGAATACACAAGAAAATGATTACTGCCAGAAATTATGATAAGAGAAAAATGACTTCTTTTCTTCTTGATCTATTTTATTGTCTTTTAATTTTTTTTATTTACAAGCTGCCTAGCATTGCTATGGAATTGATGAACTTGAACTTAAAATAATAAATGAATAAATAAAAATATGTATATTTTTGCAAAGAATATACCGGTAATCAAAATGACAAGGAATGGTTAACATTAAAAATATTTAAAATACATGAAAATTTTGTTGGAATTGTTTTTTTTTTATATATGTTTTTTTTATATATGTGGGCAAAGACGGGTAATTATGAAGTCTCAAAAATTGTAATGAGGTTTTATCCTAAAAGTAATTTATGATAAAATTGAAGTAGAATAATGCGGGAAGTATATTCGAGAGATTTGCATAAGAATGATAGCTATACACACAAAAGAAAGGAACTGAAATGCTATAAACATTCGTATTTGAGATAGATATGATGCAAAATAAGTAAAAAATGCCAAGAGAATATTGAAAAATAATGATATAATTGGGGAGATTAAAATATGAGTGTTTTTTGCTTTTGGGGTAGCTGTGCGATTTGTTTAATCTATATATGAAGTCTGGATCTTTGCCTGATGATTGGAAGAATGCCATTTTTCTTTCCTTATACAAAAGAAAAGTAGCAGAGTGCATACCCAAACCACATGGGAATTAATTGATCAAGTGTGCTATCTGGGAAGGCATATGGTAGAATTCTGTTCTAAAACATATGAAGTGACAAGGAACAAAATTTCAAAAGTGCAGTGCAGCTTTTGTTGACAGTGCTGACCATACTTTTGCTCTTCAGCAAATAAATAAATAAATAAATAAATAAATAAATAAAACGTTTGTTTATTGGAAGTGATTAAGAATGGAAATATATTCCCAAGTATGAGAATAACTAGAATGCTTAGCAAATCAATCAATATTGAGCCCAGATTAAGACCATGATGCCTTAATTGTTTAATATATGTTTAGACAAATGTATGAGGAATGCTTGTGGCAAGGTTATAAGTCTGCTGTTGGAGATGTAAATGTGCAACTAATTATGTGCAGAGATAAGACTGTTCTGTATTGAACCTAGATATTTTGAAGCAAATAACAGATTGTTAAGATGTAGTAACAAGTGGAGCAGGAAAAATGGTATCAATGAGTCGATAGGACGATCTAGTTGTTCCGTGTTTCATTCTATTCTGTTCTATTTATTTTCTTCATATTTTATTTTACTTTGCGAGCCAATTTTGAGTATTTTACTGCCCCTTGTACATAATTAAACAATCATGACCCTCTAAGCATCATAGCATTTAAGTTACCATATTTTTCAGAGTATAAGACGCACTGGAGTATAAGACGCACCAAGGTTTTGAAGAGGCAAACTAAAAACAAAAAGTAGGTAGGTATAAATAGAGAGAGAAATAGAGAGAGAGAGAAATACAGCAGGTAGGTAGGGAGAGAGAGTGTATGTGTGTGTAGATAGGTAGATAAAGGGATAGAGAGAGAGAGAGAAATAGAGAGAGAGTGAGTGTAGGTAGGTAGATAGGTAGAGGGATAGAGAGAGAAACGGAAAGAGATAGAAAGAAGTACAGTAGCTAGGTAGGAAGAGAGAGAGAGAGTAAGTAGGTTGGTAGGTAGAGGGATAGAGAGAAAGAGAGAGAGAGAGAGAGAGAGAGAGAGAAACAGTAGATGGGTAGGGAGAGAGCGAGCAGTTAGGTAAGTAGGTAGATAAAGGGATAGAGAGAGAGAGAAATACAGTAGGTAAGTAGGGAGAGAGAGAGTATAGGTAGGTAAGTAGAGGGATAGAGAGAGAGAAATAGAGAGAGAGAAATACAGCAGATAGGTAGGGAGAGAGAGAGTAGTTAGGTAGATAAAGAGATAGAGAGAGAAATAGAGAGAGAGAGAAATACAGCAGGTAGGTAGGGAGAGAGAGTGTATGTGTGTGTAGATAGGTAGGTAGAGGGATAGAGAGAAATAGAGAGAGAGAGAAATAGAATAGATAGGTATTTCTGCTGGCACAGCACTTGATCAATGTAATTCTCATCAATCAATTAAAGAGCTTTCCAAAAGGAAAGAAAAAGTTTTTGCACTCTACAAACCTCCCCAAAACAGTCCATTTTTCAAAAAAAAAAAAAAGAGGCATGAATAGCCTGGGGAAGTGGGGGCCCCCAAAATGAGCAAAAAATGGCCCATTTTTCACAAAAACGGGCCCATTTTTCCCCCCAAAAAATTGCATGCATACCTTTATGGAAATTTATAGATTGCTACTGGGGTCTGGGGGGGGGGAGCAAAAAATGGCCCCTTTTTTGCTCATTTCTGCCCTCCCTAGCCCCCAGGAGCTCTCTGAAAGACTCCATAAGAGTATGCACGGCCAGTTTGGTGAAGGGGGCGGGGCTTTGGGAGGCAAAAAATGCTGTATTTGGTGTATAAGATGCACCCAGATTTTCAGCCTCTTTTTTGAGGGAAAAAGGTGTGTCTTATACTCCGAAAAATATGGTAAGCTACCCCAAAACAGAAGACATAATGGTGAGAAAGAAAAATTGTAACAAAACAAGTCCAGGCTCTACCCAAGACATCAAAGTTACTAAAAATGACAAACAAGACATGTCAGAAAAACAAATCCTATATAATCTATTTACAAATCAAAATGAGGGGCGTGGATCTGAGAATTAATGTCACTGAAGACCAATATTGTTTTTCGCAAGGAAAATAGCATGACTAATTGCAAGCTATACACGGACAATGAGAAACTAGACACAGTGGCTGAATCTGTATTCCCTCTTAGAATGTTTATTCAAGAAAAGCCAGCGGATGAAGACACTGTAAGATTTATAAAACCGATAGGAAGATAGCAGGCAATCTGTAGCCTGTTGTGTGGAATGAAAGTGTATTGAAAAAACAAAAACAGCTTTGTATAAGACTGTGCTTCTGCTAATGCTATTATAATCAGTTTTGAGATGGAATGAGCACTTGGTCAGGAGAATTGTAAAAGTAAATTCAGTGTTGTGGGAATCGCTTACTTAACAAGTGGTAAAACAAGATGGAGTACAATCCATGTTGGGACTTAATAGCAGGATTACCTTTTCACCTTTTTGCCCTGCTTCTCCAAGTCCCCCACCAACCTGTAGACCATAAATGAAATAGTAAGTACATCAGGCATATGCAAAATCAAGGTTTAAAACAACATACTGGAAACAAAAATATGGCACTCACAACTTGGCCTGGAGGACCCGGCTCTCCCTACAGAGAAAAGAGGACAAAAAACCAACAATGATTAAAATAAGAAGAGGCAATTTTATAGTGCTTGTAATATCTTTTCCCCTTATGGATGGCATTATACACATTTAATAGATTGAAAGATAGCTAGTTCTTATTTGGTGTCCACAAATCATTGGAAGCATTCCTGAAGTATCTCTTTTCTGTAATTTGTATTGATTGCCCGGGTATTTGCAATTCAGAGATAGTAAACGAAGTACAGGAACCCAAGAAAAGGCACAGAAAAAGAGCAGCATGGATGGAGAGAAGAAACACTGCTATATTTACCACTGCTCCCTCCTCTGTAACTTCTGAGTCAGCTGTCCCTTCACAGAAGTAGGTACTACAGAGCCCTTGGAATAGCAATAGCACTTAGACTTATATACCGCTTCACTGTGCTTTTACAGCCCTCTCTAAGGGGTTTTATAGAGTCAGCATATTTCCCACAACAATCTGGGTCTTCATTTTACCCACCTCAAAAGGATGGAAGGCTGAATCAACCTTGAGCCTGGTGAGGGTCGAATTGCCAAATTACAGGCAGCCAGCAGCCAGCAGAAGTAGCCTGCAGTACTGCACTCTAATCACTGTGCCACTTCGGCTCTTGGAACCAAGGCCAGTGGTTGTTGCTGGTCACACACTACCTTTTGTTTTCCTCCACATTTAGTGTGAATTAGAATAAGCATATACTATACCTGAGTTACAAAAATCTGGATGACTATTACATATCTGCAGAGAAACTGCTTTTTTCTACAATGGTAGAGAAGAAGTAGGTGTGTGACCATATGTTTTCCACTTTCCTGCTCTCAACTCCTGCACTCTGGATGGGTATACTTGGAACCTGGGACTTCTTAGCAGGGGGTGGGCACCTGAGAGATATGCTTTGAGGTCCACAATGCTTTACCCTTGCCTTGCTTTGCCCAAGAGAAATGAATTCCTGCCCTTATACTTCAAGCGTTCAAGGATGGATGCAGAGAGGCTTTGTGCTTTTGAGCGAAGCATCTTCTCAATTTGCAGAAGTCTATTCTTTATACCTGTTTAAATATTATTATCAAACAATCCTTTCCTGCCTAGAAATCACTTGCTCCCAACTTGTAGCTTCAGTCCTTTTAACCTGGTTAAGAGGAAAACAGACACCTATTGCTGCCCTCAAAGAATAGTCTGGTTCTATATTTGTGGTCAGTTTCAATATATAGCAACCCAGAGACCAAATAGTAGATTTAGACTGGGAAGAACAAACTTGAGTAGGAAAAAGATTGCTTGAAAATGGCATGGTGACTTACGGGACTCCCTCGATCACCCTTTGACCCTGATGGTCCAGGGCTGCCCTATAAAAGAAAAGAATATTTTTGTAAACTGGACAATGTTCTGCAGTCAAATTCTGCAATGACACTTGAAAATGGGAAGGAGCTCTTACGTTTCTCCCATCTTCACCTGGGTCTCCCTGGTCTCCCTTCTCACCAGGAAGGCCTCTGATGCCTGGCGGACCCTGTAAAATAAAAATAGAAATGAAGACTCTATAGAATCAGTTAATTTCATACATAGAGATATCTTTTCTTGGGATTGGCTAGTCAAGGATTGGACTTGAAAAAATAATGCTAGAAATTACTCCAACTTTATACAAGATTGTGGGACTAGCAGATTATAATAACCTTTCAGTCTATGTAGGAGGAGAAGAAGCAGAGGCATGTGGTGGAGTTAAGAGAGTAATCAGTCTGGCGTCATTACATTGCCAGAAACAATCCAAGTCCACACACACTCCAAATACCATTAACTCTCATGTAATGCCAATTTAGTATCGACTGTGAGTTGACTGAATTCCCGTGTATAGGCTTGAGCAATAAATCTTTTTCAAACTGCAACTTAAGGTATGGCCCTGATACTTTGCAGCTGACAGTCTACAGGTCTTGCACACTGCTGATGCAAACCACCTTTTCAAGCTACATGCAGACAAAAAACTTTAGAGGAGGAAAGTATTCTTTAGTTTCTGGCTCAGGCTACAACAACAAAAACTCATTCATTTACTTTACTGCCAAACTGAAAAGATGCCTGGCAGTTTAATACATAAAATATTAAATGTGATATTTGAACTCATAAACTCAGATACATGATCAGTTCAAAAATGTCATTTTCCAAATGGCCTCCAAAGGCAGCCCTGAAGCACTGAAGCAACGTAATGCTATCCAACCTCTGTGAATCTACAACACTGCTTATATTCCTTTTCTCATTTTAACAGGAACTCTTAGGTTGTGCTCCTATAATACTTACCCGTGGACCTTTATCTCCAGGTTTCCCAGGTAGGCCTGGCTCACCCTATGGAAAAAAGAAAAAGCAGTAAATAAAGTAAAATAAAATAAAAAGTAGCATCAGAATGGATAATAAATACGTTGAGACAATTACTTACAGAGATTCCTTCTTCTCCTTTGTCACCTCTTTCACCCTAAAATCCACAGCAGAAAGATTACCTCCTACCATTGCTTCTATCATACACTCTGTGTTTGAATATACTAGCCTAGTCCTAGCCTTGCAATATAACAGGTTAGCATGTCAAAAGAAAAATACTTGCTACAAATTCATCTCTTTCTGCAGGTCCATCGGATGAAAATTATTTCATGCAAACTTTTCCATGCAGGATGTATACCCTGCAGGACGCAGTTGCAGAATACAAGTAGTCTTCAACTTACAACGGTTCATTTAGTGACCATACAAAGTTACAACGGCACTGAAGAAAAGTGACATGACCGTTTTTCACACTTACAACCTTTGAAGCATTACCATGATTATGTGATCAAAATTCAGATGCTTGGCAGCTGACTCATATTTATGACGGTTGCAGTGTCCTAGGATCAGGTGATCACCTTTTGCAACCTTCTGACGTGCAAAGTCAATGGGGAAGCGAAATTCACTTAACAATGTTACTAACTTAACAACGGCAGTGATTCACTTAATAACTGTGGCAAGAAAAGTTGTAAAATGGAGCAAAACTCACTGTCTCATTTAACAACAGCAATTTTGGGCTCAATTGTGGTCATAAGTCAAGGACTACCTATAAATGGCCTTCAGGTAGCTTCATGTATGCCTATGAAAATAAACCTGACCAGAGGTGGGTTCCTACCAGTTCGCACCTATTCGGTAGAACCGGTTCGTCAAATCTACCGAACCGGTTAGAAGAGGTTCCATCAGTGGACCCAGAAAGCAGGCCACACCTACCGAAGAGGTTCCAAAATTTTTTGAAACCCACCACTGGTCCTTGGATATGATTATTCTACACTATCATGCTCATATTTATAAAACTCAGTGCCTCTGTGAAAGGTAAGGATGACTACTGTGTTTGTGGTGCAATTAGAACATTGCGTGTGTTGAAGTTGTTTTAACGCAAACCAAAGATGTCTTTTAAAAAACAAGTTTACATTATATTCTTATGCATGCCAATGCTGTGTGTGAGGTAATTTAAGGTGGTTCTGACAAGTGTTGTCGGCATCTTCATATCCAGTCACATGGGTGGCAAGCCACTCCCACAAAGGAGGCCACACCCACAGAGTAGGTTCGAACAATTTTTGAAACCCAGCACTGAACCTGACCTTGCAGGAAGCAAGTTCTGCTAAATAACTTAGATTGGAAGATTATATCTTCCGGCGACCTGAGGAGAAATTAATCCAGTTTTGAGATCACTAGTGATGTGATGCTCAAAGATGATATGCTACTATTGCGATGACCCTCTCTTAAAGATTTCTATGGAAGTCATGTCCTTGCAGCTTTACCAGTTCTGCTATTAGACATGATTAAGGTACTCTCAATCAGTTATGTTAGTCAAGAAGATTTATGATGGAATCCATTGGATCACCATTCTATCTGAAGACTGTTTATAGCTACAGTACTACTGACATAAAAGTTAAAAAAATATAGAAGACAGTATGAGTTTATAAATGAATATTTATGTTACCTAGATCCCAAAGGCAAGAAAAAGGTAGAGTTGTTTCTTACCTCTTTTCCTCGTGGGCCAGTTGGTCCTGCAGGACCTGATCTTCCTGACTCTCCTCTCTCCCCTGGCTCTCCTGGATCACCCTGAGGAAGTGAATCACCCCAAGACGGGTGTGGGGGGGGATAAACTAAATACAGCAAAATTCTGAAGCAAACCAAGTCTAATGACTAACATTCAGGAAAATAAGTTGAAAAACCTTCTACTCCCACTTTGATTTACTATCTAATTACTATCTAATAGTAACAGCCCCACCAAAACACCTTCCAATAGTCTATCAAAAGTCTAAGCTGAAGGTAATCCAATTCATCCAACCAGACCTATACCTGAGTGCTGCTAAAAACTGTGTCTTTCCAGTAACAACAACTTAAAGAACACTCCCAAATTGTCCACCCACGCAAGACTGGTTATGTATCATTACCATACCCGTCTAAGACCCACCCACCTAGCCCAGAGCCCAAATCAACGTCCTTTTCCTCCCTTCCTCCAATGCACAATAATCACCTTTGGGCCAATTTTGCCAGTCAGTCCTGTGAGTCCCTGAAAGAAAAAAGAAAACTGATAATTATTATGGTTCAAATGATTTAGTCAGGAAAACTGCATAAGGAAGGTTGTTGCACAAGGGCTAAGAAATACTTTATGAAAAAAAGCAGAGCTTTATTACTTATTAGTGGTTGCAAGAATACCGTACATTGCTCTGCATTCTGTAGTGAATACACAAACAGATTAGGTCTATATCTAGCATTAGTACAAAGAGAAGTAACACCTGAGCATTCTTTAATTAGACCCAATGGATTAGGAGCCAAAGCATTGCACTGATGTCAGCTCATTAAATTGAAATGCAACTAGGGAGTTAAGTGGTCTATTTTACAGGGATTCCTTCCCTTTCTGAATGAAAAAAAGGGGAATAACAGAGCTTTAAAGATGTACCGTTGGCATGAATTTAGGACTCACATTTTCTCCTTGTTCTCCAGGTGGACCAGGTGGGCCAGGGACACTAAGACCAGGAGGTCCCTGAATAAAAAATAAAAAAGAAGAATAGAAACACTTAAAAGGATGTCATATATTCATATATGTATATCCTTACCCATCATTATGAATAATGTATCATCTTTAAGATCAGCTTCACAAATATTGAGAAGATCTGGAAAAGGTTCTGTGGAAAAGGTTCTTCTGGAAAAGAAATTGAATCACAAAGAGTATTTGGGGGTAGAGGTATTCATCAGTGAATTGAAATATGTCTGGTGAAATATCTGATGAAATGGTGGAAGCCTGAAGGGCCCATATTTGGAAATATGAGTCTGAAGGGGCCATATTTGAAAATATGAGTCTGAAGGGCCCAGATGTGGAAATATGAGTCTGAAGGGCCCATATCTGGAAATATGAGTCTAAAGGGCCCATATTTGGAAATATGAGTCTAAAGGGCCCATATTTGGAAATACGAGTCTGAAGGGCCCATATTTGGAAATATGAGTCTGAAGGGCCTATATTTGGAAATATGAGTCTGAAGGGCCTATATTTGGAAAGAAGAAATATATTCCTCACTTCTATCATCATCTCATTCTAATAATGAAGCCAACAGTAACTTTCACAGCCATGTGAGCCTGATCCTCACTTTTGCTCTCCAAGGCAGATGAGGTAATAATCAGGCTATATCTAAAAGTGAAAACAAGTCTTGACAAAAATCAAAGCAATCAACATCTCAGTTTGCTGTTCAGCAGGAAAAAAAATTAACTTTATTTATTTATAAAATTAATTGGCCACCCACCTTACCTCAGGGTTACATCGATTGTTTTATCAGGCTGCATTACCATAATCAATATATTATGATATCTCATCATAACCTTGAGTACTCACACGTTCTCCTTTGTCCCCATCATCTCCTCTAGGTCCAGGTGGACCTTCAGGTCCTATAAGACCTCTTTCTCCCTGAAAACAGGAAAATCACAACATCAATGATGGCATGACAGTATTCCTACTTCCCATGTGATACATTTAAGTTGAGCACTGCTTTTTCTTATTAAATCAAATTAGAAAATGAAACTACTGAAAAAGAGAGCCATAATAGTCTTGTGAAATAATTTTTGTATGCCAACTTCCCTGCTACAATATACAATATACACTACACTGCGTATTCCTTACATCTGTAACAAGAGATTTGTTCCTGGGCAGTTACCTTATCTCCTTTAATTCCAGTAAGGCTGGATGCCTAGAAGAAATATAACAAAGATAATTGCTGAGACTTTTTCAGATCATATTCCAGAAATGCAAACTTATAAAAAAGCACTTCCTAATGGATAGGATTGTATTTATTAAATATATTAAATATATTAACGTTCATACAATTACATTCATAATTGTATGAACATAACTATGCCAGGACAGATGGATAATGAAGTTCTCCAAAGCTCGCTTGGCCAGATGAAGAAAAAATATAGTCTTTCCTAGACCAGCATTAAGCAACCAGAAAAAGAGAAAACTGGAATGAAGATGAAAGGTGTTTTACCCACTCTAGCTGTTTATCGTATTTATGATGGCTGATTACAATGGGGCACTTACCGGCAGACCGGGTATACCAGGCTCTCCTCTCTCTCCCTAGGTCAGAAAGCAACACAGGAAACGTGTTAGGGCAGCCCAAATTGTTTAAGTCTTATCATAAGGATTTACCACTATTGATTTCCACTGATGACTTTATAACCTCATAAACATCAGGCAAAGCAATGTACCTTCACTCCCTTTGCTCATTGTAAGACCACATCTTAGTTTTACTGGGAGTTATGATCAGTAAACTGGACTCCCGAGAATCTGAGAGTAAAATTTCATTCAGTCCATTGTATATGATACTGTTGTGTGGGAACAGGCCGCTTCATGTTAATTTGCATTTCAGTAAGCTCTGGATACAGGAATGTGTTGTCAACTGTTTTCACCAGAGATACAGGTCAGGCATTCAGAGCTCAGACCTGCACAAATTTGTGGCTCACCAGATAAGTTTGCCAGTATTCTAAATGACCAAATCTGAGCCAATTTCATAGCAGTAAGAACTGGAAATTAGTATTAATGTAAACAGAAATAGTCAAAAGCAATGCAAGCATTCAACTATCAATATTGTTCTTACATAAATGGGAATGGCAGGTTACATTACTACTGTATTTTTGGCGTATAAGACACATCCCCCCCCAAAAAGAGGGTGAAAATTTGGGTGTGTCTTATACACCGAATGTAGCCAAAAAGTAAGGCACGGAGGAGGTGGTGGTCTGTAGCAATCCCTGCAGCCTTGAACAGCTGATTGGGGGTATTCCAGGAGGCTGATCAACCTGCCAATCAGCTGCTCATGCTGAATCAGGCGGCAATAATGTGCTGAAACTGACGTGGCTGTTCACTATTTGCTGCAAGGACATGACAGAGTTTGCAGCAGCAATCACATTCAGAAAGCACACACAAGTAACTGATTCAGCAGAATTCAATAACCTCTCTTTATTTATAATATAACACATTATGTAAATATGCAATACCAAAAGCAGATTTTCCAACAAGGTAGTACAGTTTTAGTTTCAGATATCAGCACATCATGCAGCTTTAGTACAGAACAAGCCACGGCTTGGCTCCTTGCTGTCTCCTTCCTTGTAGCTCACACAGCAAATACTGTTTGTTTCCAAACAGCCCTCAACTCTCTTACACAGTGACAGGACACTAGCCAGATGAATACCATGGATGCTGGTAGGCAGAGGCAGAATCCCCCCCCTATTTTCTTCCTCAAAAATTAAAGTGTGTCTTATACTCTGGAGAGTCTTATACTCTGAAAAAAACGGTAATTCCTTTCAGATTCAAGAGCCCTGCTGTGTAAGCATATTTCCAATATAAATGAGAGCATTTGCCATAGGTCTAAGAACCCTTACTTGTTCTCCTCGAGGCCCAGGTGGTCCTTGTAAGCCCTATTTAAAAAAAGGGGGGGGGATAGTTATTATTCAGAATAACCATACTAAGCAGCAGTAACAGGAGGAATTCTTGAAAACAGTTAGGGGAATAAAGATGCATTATTGGCCAACATTAAGAACAGTCTGTTAGGAATACAATCTAACGGTTGGGTTGGCAATATATAAATCATGTAACAATGCTGTACTTGTTTCTTTAAATCATGCTGTAAATGTGATTGGTTGCTATTTCCTCAATTGGCCATAAGATGGAGCCAGAATCACTATTAGATGTTGTTCTGATCTGAGTGTTTGGAAGCTGGCTGTTAGAAGTGGGGTATAGTGATCAGCGTGAGCTATTGTAAGTTTTGCAACTGCTAGCAAACCTCGAGTTCCAGACTGTTTGTATGATTATGGACTATGTTATTTGGATTATCCCTTAACTGAACGACGTTGATGACTGACTGTCTTAACCGTGTATGACTTGGACTGTTTGATGGACTCTGATACCTCTATTTCCACAAAAATAAACACCTATTTAAACTGCAGTGTCTTTGTATGCTGGTTTGTGTGTTATCCAACACCACTCTTACAATGCTTCTCTGAACGCACTCGCTCTCCCAACGGAGAGCTTGCCTAACACAGTCCTTATTGAAGGATAACACAGGCAGGAAAAAGTGTTCCGAAGTAATGAGAGGATTCAAAGTTATAAAAATATATTTTTTATTATTGCACAGCTGAACTGTAGCATTAAGATTACTTTTTGGATGTCACTTATGGTGGGAAATAATTCTTTTTGGTTTGGCCTTGAATTTTCAGGTTTCAGATGAACCTAGATCAAGATACCTAAATTTCTACTGAGAAGCTGCAACAGATGGGAAAGAGGAGGATGAAGTGGAGAAATATAAAGTAGAAAGTTTGTCAACCCTCCCTACAATCACTGATTCCTTTTGGAAATCATCCTAGGTTCCCACATGGTTTCCCTCTGAAAAGGCAAAACATGCTTGAAGAATCTGGGAGAAAAAAATAAGTTTGCAGAAAAAAAAACACATCCATCTTTTTACTTCTCCATTACAACTCATGCTATCTCACCATCATTTGCAATTGTCCAATAGATCCCCTCATTCCAAAGAATAGAGTCAATTTTTAGTACAGCAAATCAAGACACCACTCAACATGTTTTTATCCTTTTTCTAACTTTTCCTCCGGTTGCTTCTTTTTGAACTCACCAAATCATCTTTGAACTATTGCACTCAAAAAAAGAGATGGGAGGAGAAGAATTGTTCCCAGATAGACAATATTTCACCAATAAGACCAAAACTCAGTCAACACTTCTGTCCCCCAGAAACAGAAACTGTTGACTTACTGTATGTCTAGATTTTACAGCATTATGAGATATTGAGATTAAAAAAACCTCCTACACTTACATCTCTGCCAGACGGACCAGCACGGCCTGAGGGACCTTGTTCTCCCTAAAATGAAAAAGTACCATAAACATGTAGTTTAGGGGAAATATTCCTAATTTTATCATCTGAACAAACCTGTTAGATAATTTAGATTTAGAAGCAAAGCTTTCTTAGTCCAAATCTTTATTTTTAGCCATTAGACCATGCTTTTTACCCCAGAGAAACCTAACCAAGTTACTACTGGATTAGGTTACTCCTTGATATAATACGGGGTAGTGCGGTGGCTCAGTGGTGTGGCTGGAAAGCTGGCAGTCCAGGTTCGAAACCTGAACACCACGTGATACGATGGGGTGAGTTCCCATCCTTGCCCCAGCTCCTGCTAACCTAGCAGTTTGAAAGCATGCAAATGCAAGTACATAAATAGGTACCACTTTGGAAAGATAACAGCGATCTGTGATGTAATGCTGGCCACATGACCACCAAAATATCTTCATGGCCTTGAAACTGAGATCAGCTCTACCCCCTATAGTCGGCAATGACTAGTGGAATAAAATCTGCAGGAACTCCTTTATCTTTTTCTTTTGATATAATATGGTCAATTCAGAATGAATATATACTGTATATATTTATATACCTTCTCTCCTTCAGGACCAGGCAATCCACGTTCTCCCTAGAAGAGTAAAGAAATTTTTGCAAAAGGTACATATCAGACAAAATGCATTTTGTTTCCATAAAAAACGTACCACAGCAAAGGCTGTGGTAAATTACATTCTAGGCACTCCAGTAGATAAAAATTTCAGACAACACATAAAATCAGCCTGGATGTCACAAGTATATTCGACTTCACTGTACAATGATGGTAACTACATTAACAGGCCATGAATTGTTATATATGAAATTAGACAAATCAAATTATATAATTCACACACATACAAGTTAGCCCTTGATTTGAAAACTTGATCCAAACCACTCACAGGCAATCTTCCATTATGAACAGGAATTTAGTTCATTCACAGCTTTGCTTCACCCAAATCTTACCTTCTCTGCAGATGGCCCAAGTGCACCAGGCAGACCACGGTCTCCCTATTACAAGGGGGGGGGGATTCCAAAATCAAGTATTAGAAGCACCAATGGGTACAGATAATGCACAAAGGATGTAAAATGAAAGGTTTATTTGTAAGAGCTCTCTAATCTCATCCAAATCAATTTCCTATAAAGAAACAACAAACGAACAGCTCTCTCTATCAGTGCATTAGGCTGAACCTTCTGCAGAAAATTTCCCCAGAAATGTGTATCACCAAAAGTAAAAATGATATGAATATAACTGCCCACTGCCCATACAGACAGAAGATCTTTGCGAACAATGCTTATCTCATTCAGTATAGACATTAGTGACATCAACTGTTGTGGTTGTCTTTCTTATTTAGAAGTATGATATGAGATTAGTTTTCCAAGTCTAAATGCAGCACTGGCATTTGAGCAACACCTACCTTGATCCCAGGTTCACCTGGAGGTCCTCGGGGGCCCTAAAGACAACAGTAAGAGCATTTTTTGTTTGGGGAATTAACGAGCAATCTAATGCATATTGTTCTCTTGGGACCGATTTACCCATTCATTTTTCAGTTAAATTATTTTAAAAATGGGACAAACAATGTACAGTAATAGTGAGTATGGGAATTGGTTTACTGTCCATATTATTATTTAATTTATTTAACAAATTTATATAGCCACCTATCCACTAATGGGATTTTGTGCAGCAAACAAAAGATAAAACATAATCAAACAATTAATATTTCTTAATGCAGACAAATGAATGAAACATAAGAAAATGACCCCTGTTGTTCATCACTATATTACCAGCCACAGAAAAATGCTGAAAAATTAAAGTGCATCTTTGATTGGATTAGAGATATTTTAAAAGGTAGGAAATTGCTTTTATTTCCAGAACAGCCAAAAGTTGATCTATGACATAAGACATGAATACTTAAGGCCAATTCTAAGTTGTTCAGAAATAGGATAGGCCGGAGATCATGCCAGAATGTTGATCCAAATAAATGAATGCATTTCTTTTGAATAGCAATAGCAGTAGACTTATATACCGCTTCATAGGCCTTTCAGGCCTCTCTAAGCGGTTTACAGAGAGTCAGCATATTGCCCCCAACAATCTGGGTCCTCATTTTACCCACCTCGGAAGGATGGAAGGCTGAGTCAACCCTGAGCCGGTGAGATTTGAACCGCTGACCTGCTGATCTAGCAGTAGCCTGCAGTGCTGCATTTA